TCTATGTACGTAAGACACTTAACTTTGGTGATCTGCTGGGAACCGTGTCTTAACGATCAGTCCACTGCGGGACTTTACATAAGTATTTCAGAAAATGTGTCAATGTATATTTGTTATAAAAATTCCGTTTGTTTTTATACATTCCTTTTAATATTTGTCTAATTTAGCTTTTTTAATCGATGTTTTTTTTTTTTCATTTTGAAGTGTATGTTGGATATGAGTATGGTTCGTGTCCGAAAATCATTTGGGAAGTTCAAACAACGCAAGTGAGTGGACATGATATGAGCGTATCTGATATCGGAGGATGGAATTTGGACATACACCACAAGTACAACTTTCATGAAGGTACGTAATTTATCCTTTTTTATAAAAAAAAAAGAAATTATGTGAATCTTTCATCCTCCTATCGGTAAAATGGTTTATTATCAAATGATTTCGTTAATATTTTAACTCTTTTCTCACGGCTGGTACAATTTATGATCCAGGATAGCAGATTCTATCATGTGACGTAGGGAAAAGGTTAATATTAATTTTAACTAATTATTTGTATTTATTTATTTTGATAAAAACAGCTTAGTAAGAAACATTTTTGAATAAAATTGAAATTTCTCAGTTAAATATTCTATTTTAGTTTATATACCTATGCAACCTTATCTTACTTTACTACGCCTTTAAATTATTTAGATTCTGTTTGGTTATTTGATAAAGGTACTAAGTTCCTCACCCCCTAAAAATTTCTCCAGTTAAGTTAAATGAGGGTTAAGAAGTCGAGTGTGGTCTGATGAGTTACGTTTTTAATAATGCCAAACACGACTATTTTCATTTTATCAGTTTGACATTTATTTCTCGAAATACCTCCATTTAAAAGTAAGGTTAATGAGGCTACAGAATGTTCTCATTATGAAAGTTTTATAATGAGGTTAAATCTGCTAACTAAACTTCAAACGCCTGGGAATGAAATTGAGGTGTTCTGTCAAAACCAAAAAAGCACTAAAAATAGAGATTCTCTCATTTATTATTTTGACCTTCCTCGCCCTAGGGAATAAGTTTGGTGTTCGAAGTTTGGTATCATTAACAACATAATTCACACGCGTGTTTAAAAGTTTGTTAATCTGATGCATGAGACTCGAAATACTTATAACCATTTCATTCTTATTTACAATTTTGTTAAAATGTCATTCATACATCATATAAATCTACAATGCATTTTACGACATTTAATGTGTAAAATGTGATTTTAAATTAAAATATTTTGTTCGCAATTCTTAAATAAAGCGAAATGAAATGAAATAAAAGAAATGGAACAAAACCAAGTAAAACAAGACGAAAAAAGTTTAAAAATAACTATTCCAATTATTCATTGAAGAGTTGCAAGTTAAATTTTACTATATAAATAAATCATTGTCTTTTATCTAAACAAGCTTTAAAATATGAAAATTCCCTGCTTTAAAAGAAAATAACTATTTTTTTTTTAAACTTAATGATCCTCTAACTGCTGTTTTATGAAAAATCGCTGTATTAAAAGTGCTTTATTATAAACTCAGAAAAATTTTAATTTGTATTTCCGAATGTCTTAATAACATTCTACTCTCTACTATTTTCTATTAAACCTTTTTAAACTTCTCTAGTTTAAACTGTTTACTCTGTTGAAGTTTGGAAGGAATCCAAATCTTAACTCCTAAAATTAATCTGTTCCACTGACTTTAATTGCACCCGAATTTCACTAGAGTTAATTAAAGTAGAAAAATCTAGATCAGGTAATTTATCGTTTAGCAGTATTTTTCTCCAGTTTAATTCTTTTATAGGAAAAATATCAAATGCACAGTAATATAATTAAATAAAATATTTTACTGGGTTTGTTTTGATTACAAACATAATTAGTATCTCCAAAATATTCGTAGTTTAATTTACGATAAATTAATTTCTATTTATCGTTTGCTTTCGAAATAATTAAATAAGTTTGAAATTAAATTATACATATACATTTCTGTGCCAAGGTAAAATTGCACAGCAGCGTAGTTGATTCATTCAGAATCATTACAAGCCTTTCACTACTTGGGAATTAAGTCGAAATAATTGAATTAATATACTATGTGAATAAGATCATGAAAATGGGAGCACTTTCAACTGATGATAACTGTCTTTAAATAAACAAAGCATTTTTTGATAAATAAATGCGTATCCTAGTAACATGCTGTCTCTAAATCACTATTTTTAAAAAAACTGTAAGTGAATCAAATTTATAATTATTAAAAAAATTATTGTGAACTGTAAGGAATCAAATTTAGTGAATGGTCCAGTAATGTTAATAGTTGTATATCACTTTGGTAAAGGTCTAAAATATTTATTAATTATAATTATTTCTCACCTAAACTGGAAATGTTGATATTAAGCTTCTGTGAAGAATAAATGATAAAATATTTCTGCTGTAATATATTATGTGGATGAGATCATGAAAATGAGAATACTTTCATTTGCTGATAACTGTTTTTAACTAAGCGAGAAAAAAATTATAAATAAATAAATGCATATCCAAGTAACATGTTGTCGCCAAATAATTTTTTTTTAAAAATCATAATGAACTGAAGGGAATTAAATTTAGAATTATTAGAAAAACTATAGTGAACTGTAAAGAATCAAATTTTAGTGAATGCTGGCATGGTTCAATAAATGGTAACATTCGTATATGACTGTGGTGAACATCTGAAATATTTATTAAATAAAATTATTTCACACGTAAACTGTCAAGTGAGGATGTTCAACTTGCACGAAGAATGCATGATAAAATATGTGTGCTAATTTTTCAATTTGTTTTAGTAAATTATTTGTTATGTTACATGCAAATTAATTATAAATTACTGGTTATTCTCTGGGGTAAACTATTTTTCTCTAATATTATTCTTTCTTGGAATAGAATATCATGTGTGAAGCAATATAATTTATAAAAATATTAAAAATATTCTATCATTTTCTGCTTTACTTAAAAACATAATTAGTATCACTGTCACTAAACTATTAATAGTTTAAATTATAATAAATTAGTTTTTATATATATTTTGCTTTTGAAGTAACTAAAATTTAAAATTTAATTGTGTTTAAACCTTTCGGTACTAAAGTAAAATTTATCATCAGCTTATTTCATAAACACAAAATTATTATATGAATTTCGCTATTTGAAAATAAATTCAAATTAAATTAATAACTGTATTATGCAAATGAGAATAACTTTAACTGATGAAAAATATTACTGAATAAAGTATTGAGTTTTTGACTAAATTATATGTATATTCAAATAAAAAAATGCATTTATTCTAAAATATATTTATTCTTCAGAACTTGATAAAAAAATAGTTAAAACTACAGGAATATATTTACATTTACCGTGTTTTGTCTATAAGGAAAGCAAAATGCTCAGTAATTTTCATCAAAGAGCTTTGATAATGATTTCGTTAAAATAAGCAATAAAATGTGGTTTTATATGTGAAAAATTTAGAAAATGTGGTAAAATTTGGTAATTTTATCATAATTCCTCAGAGCATGGCATAAAAATAATTTATTCAGTTAAATTTACAATTCAGATTTGTATTTTTTACTAAATGTGATGTAATAGGAACTATAAACTTGAAAACCAGAATTTTTGGTAAATTGATACTATACAAACAGTGGTCGAAAAAACTACATTTTCTTTGTAGTTAACTACAATTACAACTACTTAATTACAAATATAGTTAAATGCAACTACTTTTTTTACATGTAGCGAGTCCAAACTACTTTCGGAATGTTGTCACTAGGAGATATTAAGCAATTTTAATTCATGTTTACAAGAAATAGTTTTTATTCTAAAGCACTTTTCTTACGAATTTGATCTTTAAACTTTCAAACTCTATGATTTTCTCGACAGTGATTTAAGAAATGCTCGGAAATTATCAAGTATTTGTGATTTACGTGATGAATGCTTTTTTACAGGGCTCGAAAAACAGCCCGTCCGCCCGTCCTCGACGGTCAAAAATTCTCCTCGGACAACGAATTTCTCGAATACGACGTCCGCGCGGACGGCCATTTTCCCGTTAATGTTCGTGATACATTTTCAATTTTTGTTATCTGACAAGAGTCTTGTAAGTTAGAAGGCAGCAAAATGACCCACAATACAGCAACATACTGCGCATATATTGATGTTTTCTCTGTCTAGGAATACTGCAGCGGTTGAAAGGGGCTTTGCAGCAATAAACTTACAAAAAAAAAAAAAACACAATACGTACTGGTCTTAAACAAGAAGCTTTAAAAGCAGCTATGAACATCTACCTAAATGGAAAACCCCTTTCAGATTTCTGTTCAGAAACCTCTGTAAATCATTGGCTTGATTGTGGAACTGGCAAGCGTCATATTTGATTCATTTAAAAAACTCAGTACCTTCGGATAACTTGACATTCCAGATAACTTGACCCTTGTCATTTAAATTATTTCATAAAAGAAATACTAGGTTACTATTAGTAACCTATACTAGGTAACTAAGTATAGGTTACTAACCTATATATAACCTATATACTATATAGGTTAGTAACCTATATTAGTAACCTAACCTATACTATAACCTATACTAACCTAGTAACCTATACTAGTAGTAAAAGAAATACTAGGTTACTATTAGTAACCTAGTATTTCTTTTACTACTGTATAATGTAATCCTAGTAACGACTAATTCATTTTGCAATTTATATAAATGTTTGTAATAAATAGGAGAAAATTATATTTTTATTTATTTAAAAGCGACGGGTTAGTTTCAACGGAGGACGGGTGCACTGTTAGACGAGCCGTCCTCGGGGACGGGAAAAATTTCTGAGTTTTTTCGAGCCCTGCTTTTTTATACCCTCTAAGAAATAGTGCAGAGTGCAAAAAACAAAAATCCTGACCACCCTAAATAATTTTTGATCTAATGATAGGATGTTCACGTTTTAACTCAATCTTAATGGTTTTGAGGGGGTGACCTCAAATATGCTAATTAATTAAAAGCTGACGATATTTTAAGTTACGAAATCACACACAAAGACGAACTTTACAGTCCCTATGAAATCAAATTTTAAAACGTCAGATATTTTAAAATTCTCGGGAACAACTCAACCGATTTCGCACCGATTTTTCCTAGCAACAGACGTAGATCTCAGCCACAGAGGCATTCTCAATGCGTACGTTGACGGGATCACGAAGGATTTACACTTTGTTCCTTTATTTAATTAACATTAAAAGACAGGAACCGGTGCAAACTACCATTTGGTGCATCGCACTACTCACTACACTACTTCTTTTAAAAAGTAGCGCACTACACTACAAACTACGGGAAAAAAGTA